GGCACAGGGGTTGAGAAGTTACCAGTGCCACAAGGGAGCTAGCACAGAGGCCCTACAGACCCCCCGCCCCAGAATGAACATCAGCCCATGCCTATCTAAGTGGCCAGCGCTGCCCATGGAGCGGTATAAAGACAGGGCTCCCCATGAAGGGCAGGGAAAACCCCTGGAGAGCCATCCAACCCCAAGACTTCCATGGTTTGGGCACAGGGGTTGAGAAGTTACCAGTGCCACAAGGGAGCTAGCACAGAGGCCCTACAGACCCCCCGCCCCAGAATGAACATCAGCCCATGCCTATCTAAGTGGCCAGCGCTGCCCATGGAGCGGTATAAAGACAGGGCTCCCCATGAAGGGCAGGGAAAACCCCTGGAGAGCCATCCAACCCCAAGACTTCCATGGTTTGGGCAGAGGTAGCTGGCTCTGGCTCGGCCTGCTGGGTAAAGGCATTTGCCTTGACCAGCTTTCTCTCCCTCTGGTTGACATCACTGTGCGTCTCCAGCAGCCATCTTGGGCAGCTGTCCTGTGCAGGAGGCGGCCAGGCGGGGCAGATTACAATTTGTATCATGTCATCCTTTCAACTGAGAACATCCAGGTTTATTCTGAAACTTGTTCTGACTTCTCCATTGAAATTCTCACAGCTGGGTGAAATGTCGGAGGTGGGTGGGACGGGGGGACAACATCGCCTGTCAAAATACAGGGAGCAAATACCCTAAAATCAAACGCCAATGCAGCATGTTCCTTACTTTGCCTATCTAAGTGGCCAGCGCTGCCCATGGAAATACTCCTTCCACTGGTCTGCGTGTGCACGGTGAAATCAACATTCACTAATATTTGCCAATAAAAATTGAATCCTTTCAAGCCTAGAGGTGGTGGAGGATCAGGCATGAATGTTATAGCTGACTCACGGGTGTAGCCGGTTGCTAACACTCCACCCAAGCTGTCCCCTCATTCCGCAAGGCTTAATACTCCCAAGGGAATGCTGGGACGCTGGAGGACTGAAGATCCCCAGCAGTGGGCGAAAGAGGGAAGACTGTTTCACAGGTGGGGATGGGGGAGGCGCAGCAGGTCTGTCTAGCTAGAAGGGTTATCAGCAAGAGCGGCCAACAGACAGGACAGAATGAGGCCTGGCCCAGCAGCCAGGAAAGTCAGACTAGCCCAGCCAGCCTGGGCGGTTTCTTCGCAAGCTTAGGGTTGGGCCCAGACAGAGCTCTGGCACCGGAATGGAACTCTGCTCCCCGTCTGCTGGCTGCACCCCGCTCAGCTGGTTGTGTCTGGCTTTGGCTCTAGGATTGTTTTGCACAGTTCGGATCACAAACCAGCCTCAGACACTGCACTAAGCGTAGCACTTTGTGACCAAGCCTGAAATGCTCCAAACCCCAAGCTCCACTCCCTGCTACCCCCAGGCGGAGTCACCCCGCTCCCAATGCAATCGGGGAGCAATGCCCCTCCCCTCCAGCCTCTGCAGCTTGCCCTTGGGTAAGGCTCCCTGGTAAGCATTACAGGGGAAGGGCAGGGGTGACACTGGTGGGTTGGTGGCCACAGCTGAGGAAGTGGCCAAGACCCTGTATGACCAACATGGCATTGGGGAAGGGGGTACCCCCAGGCGGAGTCACCCCGCTCCCAATGCAATCGGGGAGCAATGCCCCTCCCCTCCAGCCTCTGCAGCTTGCCCTTGGGTAAGGCTCCCTGGTAAGCATTACAGGGGAAGGGCAGGGGTGACACTGGTGGGTTGGTGGCCACAGCTGAGGAAGTGGCCAAGACCCTGTATGACCAACATGGCATTGGGGAAGGGGGTTATACACGTGAAGGCAGCCCTTCTGCCAGCTCCCTGTGATATTTACAGCCAGGGGACGGTGCACAGGGCTGGGGGGCTCTCGGGTTCTGTACAGCGGCAGACACTAAGCGAGCGAAGGAAACTCAAGTAAAATTCTTATTGCCTTTATTCTGCCTGTGCCCTCCCCGAGCCCCGTCGGCCAGCACACACGCACACACATGCACGCACACACGCTCGCGGCGCTGGGACCCCCCCGCTCCCCTCTCTCGGGAAGAGCCGAGCGGCCGGGAAGAGTCAAAGAAGCAGAAGCTAGA